CCCAGGGGGGATGGTCACGCCGCAATCCCTTCTCCTCCATTCTCCTCTCGGGCTCTTGGGCACGCACGCACACGCGCCCGGCGTGAGTTTTAAGCCACCGGGTCCGGGACACGAACCGCGGTCGACTACGTGGGAGTCCAGCAACATAGCCATTACACTAACTGCTGGTTCCCAAAAGCAGTTTTTAATAATCAGCCTAACCCTGGGGCCAGCAGTTGGCATAGTGATTAAGGTGCTGGACTCCCACATGGTCAATGGCAGATCGAATCCTGAACCCTGTGGCTTGAAACTCATGCCGTGTGTGCACGTGTGTGCCCCAAATCCCGAGAGAAAGGAGAAGGGATTGCAGTGTGGGCCTCCCCCTAAGGGGCGATTCGTCTCTCTCTGCATGTGTGTCTCCAGTGAGTACACTTGTCCTAGAGCAAACATGTCTTTAAAAATAAATAAAATAAGAGGGCCATCACTGTCGCCTAGTGGTTAAGGGAGCCAGAGCCCGAGTGGTCAGCTACAGTTTGAATCCCAGCCTTGGCAGCTTAAAAAACACACCAGGTGTGTGCATGTGTGTGCCCAGATTTCCAATGGGATGAAGAACCGGAGGTGCAGGGAGTACAGCAGACACACCCACTGCCCTGCGCTTTCTTCCCGTCTTTCCCTGATGAGTTAGTGAGTACACGTCCCCTCTGGCCATTAAAAAAAAATTAAAAAAAAAAAAAGCATGCTTTAAAAAAATTTCTTTGTTGTTTTGGTTTTGCTACAGGGCGTGTGCACCTGCTGGGAACAGAGAGAGGGAGAGTATGAAATCACCCCCGGGGGATGGCCACGCCACAATCCCTTCTCGCCACTCTCCTCTCAGGATCTGGGGCATGCACACACATGCACCTGGTGCGATTTTCAAATCGCCAGGTCCAAGCTGCAAGCCACGGTCAACCATGTGAATGTTTGGCACCTTAACCACCATGCCACCTGCTGGCCCCCCCAAATTCATGCTTTAGTTTAATTTTTCTGTGAGTTTTTGACGTCTTGCCATATACGTTTACCTTAGTCAAAATTTTTATGGGGTTGGGACCAGCAGTTAGCATAATGGCTATGTCGCTGGACTCCCACGTAGTCAACTGTGGTTCGTGTCCCAGACCCAGTGGCATAAAACTCACGCTGGGTGCGTGTGCGTGCGTGCCCAAGATCCCGAGAAGAGAATGGAGGAGAAGGGACTGTGGTGTGGCCATCCCCCCTGGGGGGTGATTTCTTGCTTTCTGTCTCTATGTCTCTCTCTGTCTGGTGAGCGCACGCGCCCTATAGCAAAAACCCCTCCAAAAAATTTTTTTGTATGGGGTTCCTTCCTTCCTTCTTTCTCTCTCTCTCTCTCTTTTTTTTCTGTTTAATTTGCTAGGGGGCATGTGTACTCACCAGAGAGAGAAAGAGATAAGAAAAGTGAGAAAGCATCTTCCAGGGGGGATGGCCACACCACAGTCCCTTCTCCTCCATTCTTCTCTGGATTTTGATCATACATGCACATGCACTGGGCGTGTTTTTTCAATCCTCTGAGTCTGGGACTCAAACCGCACGGTTGGTAATAGGGGACCCAGTTGCCTTAACCACCACGCCACCAGTTGACCAGTTTTTGTAGGTTTAAAAACCAAACAAACAAAAAAGTTTATTTCGGGACCAGCAATTAGCGTAATGGCTATGTCGCTGGACTCCCACGTAGTCGACCGCAGTTCGCGTCCTAGACACGGTGGCTTAAACTCACGCCGGGCGCGTGTGCGTGCGTGCCCAAGATCCCGAGAGGAGAATGGAGGAGAAGGGATTGTGGCGTGGCCATCCCCCCTGGGGGGTGATTTCTCACTTTCTGTCTCTCTGTCTCTGTCTCTCTGTCTGGCGAGCGCATGCGCCCTATGGCAAAAACTTCTCAAAAAAAAAAAAGTTTATTTCTTTCATGAGAAAGAGAGCGAGCCACGTGCTCTCAGCAGGTCTTCCCTCGCGACCCCAGCCTCCCCAGCTAGCCTAGGTCAGGGCATGCGGGCCGTACAAGCTGGCCGGGGAGCCGACCCTGTGATCTTCCATGTAGAGCCTGCTTTGCCTGAGCAGCACCTGCCACCGCATGCCCACCTTGTCGGTTTTTGTTGGGCACATGATCACGCTCAGCCTGCCTGGTTGACCACACCCTGTTGGCATGTCACCTAGACGGACGCGCAGGAGGTGGCGTCGGTAGTGAGCGCCCGGGAGATCCAGGCTGCCGCGGAGCTGCTGCAGGTCTCCCCCGAGGGCCTGCAGAAGGCCATCACCTTCAAAGTGACCGTGAGTCCGTGTGCACCTTCCCGCCAGGCCTGGACACGGCTGCCCTCCACCACGGCCTTTGTGGGCTGCCCTCCCTCGCCCTCCTCTCCCTGCCCCTGCCCATCATCTGGGTCAGACTGGATGGGGTGACCTCAGACCCAGTTGTCAGAACCTTGCACAGGCTGATCCCTCTACCTGGAATGCTCTTCCCCTTCTCACGCCTGCATGGCCTTTGATACCCAATGTGGATATCACCTCCTCTGGGAAGCCTTCCCTGACCCTGGCTGGGTCAGTGCCACCCCTGGTCTTTCACAACCCTCAGCCCTTCCCCTCCCCAGGGCTGATCTTGTTCCTGGGGCTGCTTCTGCCTCGGTTTCCCCATTGGACCAGCAGCCTCCACCCCGCTGCATCTCCCTCTCTGCATGTCCTGTCCACCTGCGCCAGCTGTGTGCCTGAGACCAGTCACGCCATCCCTCCGGCCTCCAACCCCACCGCAACCCCAGTCCTCTGGGGGCTTTCTGGGGGCCGTGGCCAGCCTGCTGTCCCTCAAGGGTCACGTCCCTCCCCAGGAGACGATGCGAGAGAAGATCTTCACACCCCTGACCGTGGAGAGCGCCGTGGATGCCAGGTCAGGCCCCGCTCCGTCCCACGCCTCAGGACCCCAGCCCACTGGCGGGCCCTTCCCCGTGCCAGCACTGCCTCTGCTGCAGGGACGCCATCGCCAAGGTCCTGTATGCGCTGCTGTTCGGATGGCTCATCGCCAGGGTCAACGCACTGGTGTCCCCACGGCAGGGCACGCTGTCCATCGCCATCCTGGACATCTACGGCTTCGAGGTGGGGCTGTGGGGGGGCAGGGGGGCCCTTCTTGTCCTCACCCTCTCTGCCTCCAGCCCGTCCGCTCTCCGCTCCGGGATCCCTCCTGCATCACGACCTCCCCTTTCCGCCATTCCCTTCACTCACCCACAAGCACCAGCTGAGACTCAGGGCCTGGCACTGCTGGCAACGCCAGGACCCTGGAGAGGCAGAGTTGGCGGTCAGCCCAGCACTGGGGGGCCCTCGCTCTGCAGTGCAGGCGCCAGGGACTGCGTCCTGGAAGGGAGGAGACACTGCTGAGACCCAGGAAGCAGCTGGGCTGAGGGAACAGCTTTGCTAAGGCCAGGAGGCACGGCAGGGCCTGGCGTCTGCAGAGCTGGGATGACAGTTGTGTCGAGCACGCAGTGGGGACACATGGGGCAAGATCGCCATTTTAAGGTCATAGCCAGGGCCAGCTGCCTGGTGCAGCAGTAATGCCTAGCCCAAAAGAAGCCAGATCCCACGTGGCGACTGTGCTGTGACTCCCGGGCCTGGTGGCCTGAAAAACGCCAGGTCTGCGCAGGATCGGGTGGGCTGGAGGGCTGGGGAAGGGATGGTCCTCTCTCCTCTCCCTCTTCTTCCTTTCTCACTGTCTCGTGCACATGTGCTCTGTGATAAATACAGAAGAGAAGTCGGTGAGCGCTCCCAAGACCCCTGCTGCCCACGGGCACCTGCAGCACAGCACTGGGTCCTGACCTCAGCACCCTGTCCAATTCACTTCCTCCTGACAACAGCTCTGTGAGGCAGGCACTGCCCACATCTTACAGTCAGAGGAGCTGAGGCGCAGTGTCACCGCCCAGGGTCAGACAGCTAGAAAGGGGCAGAGCCAGGATTTGACCCTGTGACCAAGTCCAGGGCCTGGGCCTCTAGCCCCTACCTGTGCTGCGAGGATCCAGGCTGTCGGCTCTGCCCCGTGTGCATGGGAGCTCTGGAGGGCTCTGAGCAGGGGCTCCGTGGTCAGGCTCTGAGCATTTCTCTACATTTATTTCCATCTTCCGTGATTGAGAAGGAGACAGGGCGACAGCACCCCAACAGGGTCCGGATGCACTGATCTGCCCCCTAGTTTCAGCCAGCCCCGTTCCCAGGCACCAGAGCCTCCCCTGGGTCAGCCTTCCAGAGGGTCGTGTTCACCCTGAGCACTGTCCGGCATCTGACTTTTTAAAACTGGCCATGGAAGGCAGGGGAAGCACTGGGCCCGGGCTGTGTGGCGAGCAGGGCTCACGATGGGGACACATGGGCTGCCGGCCAAGGAGGGACAAGGCCCAGCCTCGCCATCCCCCTGCAGGACCTGAGCTTCAACAGCTTTGAGCAGCTGTGTATTAACTACGCGAACGAGAACCTGCAGTACCTTTTCAACAAGATCGTCTTCCAGGAGGAGCAGGTGTGTGGCCCCTGGTGACCCTCCTGTCCCCATCCTGACTGGCCCCTAGGCCTCCTTGGACACAAAGACATGCTGGTTCTTCAATGGCAACTCCAGCGTTGTCAGCAGGCAGGGAAGGCGTGCTGTGTAGGGGACAGTGTTCGGAGGGGAAGAAGACCTCAGAGCGGAGTCCCCTTGCAGGGGTCCGTCTTGCCCTCTGCTGGGCTGTCCCTGGCAGAGAGAGCCACGGGGCCCTGAGACGGCTCATGGTGCTCTCACAGGGGCGAGCTCCCTGTTCCAGGAGGCACGCAGAGGTGCATGGCCGGGCTCAGCTGGCTCAGCCTGGGCAGGCGTGTGGGCCCTGGCAGGGCGAGCAGGCTGACCCGCACGGCTGCCCGCAGGAGGAGTACATTCGTGAGCAGATCAACTGGCGGGAGATCACCTTTGCCGACAACCAGCCGTGCATCAACCTGCTCTCACTGAAGCCCTACGGCATCCTGCGTATTCTTGACGACCAGTGCTGCTTCCCCCAGGTGAGCTAGGCTGCGTGTGGGCCGTCAGGACGCCAAGGTGGCTGAGCTTCGAGTCCTCACTGGCCCCGAGTCCATTCCTCTCTCCTCTGGCCTGGCATGGGGAGTCAGGTCAGGACACCCAACCTACCAACCACAGCCTAGGGAGATTGAGTCCAGGTAGGAAGCCATGGGTGTCCAGAGGACGGTGCACTAGCCTGGGAAGTCACAGAGGGCTTCCTGGAGGAGGTAACCTTGGGTTGGGCTTCAAATCCTTATTGTAGGGACCAGCAGTTAGCGTAATGGCTATGTCGCGGGACTCCCACGTAGCCGACCACGGTTCGCGTCCCAGACCCGGTGGCTTAAAACTCACGCCGGGCGCGTATGCGTGCGTGCCCAAGATCCCGAGAAGAGAATGGAGGAGAAGGGATTGCGGCATGACCATCCCCCCTGGGGGGTGATTTCTCGCTTTCTGTCTCTCTGTCTCTCTTTGTCTGTCTGGCAAGTGGACGCTCCCTATAGCAAAAAAAAAACAAAAAAACTTTTTTTTTTTTTGAGAGGTTTTTCACTATAGGGCGCATGCGCCCTATAGTGAAAAACCTCTCAAAAAAAAAAAAAAAATTTTTTTTTTTTTTTTGAGAGGTTTTTCACTATAGGGCGCATGCGCCCTATAGTGAAAAACCTCTCAAAAAAAAAAAAAAAATTTTTTTTTTTTTTTTGAGAGGTTTTTCACTATAGGGCGCATGCGCACTATAGGGTCCACTTGGGCCCTCTGCCCCGGGGACAGTGGGCAGCCATGGGGAGCTGTGAGTTGCTCTGCAGTGACCCCTGGAGTGGTCAAGGCTGGAGAAGTTGCTGCCAGGCCTTCACCCACCCACTGACCCCGACCTGCCCCCAGGCCACAGACCACACGTTCCTGCAGAAGTGCCACTACCACCACAGCAGCAACCCACTCTACTCCAAGCCCAAGATGCCCCTGCCTGAGTTCACCATCAAGCACTACGCAGGCAAGGTCACCTACCAGGTGAGGCCGCTGTGCTGTAGGCCTGGCCAGCAGGCACAGACACTCACACTTGCACCGAATGTGGCCTGCAGCTCCCCGCAAATCCCTCAGCCTCTCGGAGCCTCCCTTTCCTCGTGGGGAAATGGGCGTGACCACAGTGCCTCTTTCAAGCAGCAGGTGTACCAGGTCTAATGTGGGTGTGATAAGGAGCAGCTGCTCTCAGAGCACTCACTATGGTCGCCCTCACTGCGACTGCCCTCAGCCTCTGGCCCCATCTGGGCCTCATTCTCTTCCCCTGTAGAATGGGCACAGGGCGATGCTCCTCCACTGAGGGGGGGCAGGACTCAGTCTGCTCAGTGAAGTGGTGGTTAGTGGCTCTCTCCCTCACGAGTGGGGCGAAAACGGGGCGGGAGGGGAGGGGCCACAGCTGGGGGGAGTCTAGTCCCTTTGAGGATAAGGAGACAGAGGTCTGGAGGGGAGGGCCTCGGTCATCAGACGGAGGCATGCGGTGAAGTTAGGAGCACGGGGTACAGCCCGAGCTGCCCCGCTCCTCTCCCTTTACAGGTGCACAAATTCCTGGACAAGAACCACGACCAGGTGCGCCAGGACGTGCTGGATCTGTTCGTGCGGAGCCGGACGCGGGTGAGCAAGCCTAGCCCTGGCGTCCTGGCCCCGCCCCCAGGCTTGGCCCCGCCCCTGGTCCCGGTCCAATCCGCAACCCAGACCTAGGTGTTGCCTCGTCCTGGCTCCGCCTGGGTTATGACAGCTGCGTTTCCCCAGGCCGCCAGTCCTGGCTCCCAACCCTAAACTGGCACCCCGGAACCTTCTGCCTTGGGTACTTCACCCATTCCTGACCACGCCTCCGGGGTGGCCCCGCCTCGGCCCGGCCCTGCAGTGTCTCCTAGCTGGCGCGTTCTTACCTCCTGCCAGTCTGTTCCCCTAACCCCAATGCCAGGTTCTGAGTTATTCGGAGACTGAGCTCTGCGCCGTTTGCCAGAGGCCTCTCCAGCGCTGCTCTGTCGCCAGAGGTCGGGGCCCGATTTGGGTTCCCTGGGGAGGCCTACATCCCTGCGCCGTGGTGGGCAGAACCCAGGCCAGGCTGATACCTACCTCCCCTCTCTGCCTCTCACCTTCCCTCTCCATCAAACGGGCGTCATTAGCATTGATGGCCACGCATAGCCTTGGGCCATGCACAGTCAGTGACAGTGTCCCCACACTGAGAAAAGCCTGCCCAACCATGAGATGGGTCCCTGGGAAGGTGCCGGGGCTCCCGCTTTGAGAAGTGTGCACGCCAGGACGACAGAGGCCTTGCACAGGGCAGGGCGCGACTACCCCAGTGCAAGAACTCGACTCTCCTCTGCATCCTCACCTCTGGCTGCCTTGACCCCGTCCAGGTGGTGGCACACCTGTTCTCCAGCCACGCCCCACAGGCCGCCCCTCAGCGCCCAGGCAAGAGCAGCTCTGTGTCCCGGCTCTACAAAGCGCACACAGTGGCTGCCAAGTTCCAGCAGTCGCTCCTGGACCTGGTGGAGAAGATGGAGAGGTGGGGAATCAGGGGTCTGAGCACCCAGCCTCCCCTTTAACCCACTCCTGACTTCAGCAGGTGAGAGCCTTCCCTGGCTGAGGCCTCACACGCCCTCTGCCCCGCCCCTTGCCCAGGTGTAACCCGCTGTTCGTGCGCTGCCTGAAGCCCAACCACAAGAAGGTGAGAGCCAGAGCCTCCTCCCCATGCCGTGTGGCCTTGGAGCGGTGTCCTGGCCTCCCTCGACCTCTGTGGGGCCTGTGGGTGGGCCGGTGTGCAGACTCCTCTCTGGCCTCCCCGCAGGAGCCAGGTCTCTTCGAGCCAGATGTGGTGATGGCCCAGTTACGCTATTCAGGGGTGCTCGAGACGGTGCGGATCCGCAAGGAGGGCTTTCCTGTGCGACTGCCCTTCCAGGTGTTCGTAGACAGGTACCTCGGCCGGCGTGATTCCTGAGCTCCGCAGACCCCTCCCTGACCCGCCTCGGCCCCAGGAATACACACGCAGGGAGCGTGGGGCTGGCCGTGCACGCGCAGCTGCCAGGTTGCCTGCTGCACAAGCCCACGCGGCAGCTGTTCCGAGGTTAGGTGTCTGTAGCTTTGCCCTTCTCCATGCTGTTATTGTATCCATATGGATTCCAAAGAGGGATTTGGTTTTTGTTTGTTTGTTTGTTTTTTGAGAGATTTTTGCTATAGGATGTTCTCCCCAGAAAGATAGAGAAAGCGAGAAATTAACCCCTGGAGGGATGGCCACGCCATAACTCCTCCTCCATTTTCTCGGGATCTTGAGCACACATAGCATGAATTTTAAGCCTCCAGGTCTGGGACTCAAACTGAGGTCAGCCACATGGAAGTTCAGCACCTTAACTACCAGACTACCTGCTGGCCCTAAAGAGGGATGCTTTTTTGGGGGAGTCGGGAGAGGTTTTTGCTATAGGGCGTGTGTGCTCACCAGAAAGACAGAGAGAGACAGAAAGTGAGAAATCGCCCCCCAGGGGGGATGACTGGTCCCCAAGAGGGATGCTTTCAATAGTTGTTACGGGACCAGCAGTTGGCATAATGGCTATGTCGCTGGACTCCCATGTAGTCCACCGCAGTTCAAGTTCAGGACCCGGTGGCTTAAACTCAGGGCGGGCGCATGTGCATGTGTGCCCAAGATCCCAAGAGGAGAAGGGAGGAGAAGGGATTGTGGCATGGTCATCCCCCCTGGGGGGTGATTTCTCGCTTTCTGTCTCTCTGTCTCTCTTTCTGGCGAGCACACGTGCCCTGTGCAAAAAAATCCTCTCAAAGAAAAAACACGTAATAGTTGTTAGGACTAGTTTCGAGCAGATGGCAGTGAAGTCTCTTTTTCTGCTGATATCACCTATTACAGCAACTTTCTGGCACCCAGAAGTAAAGAGTCTTGCGGATGGGGTGCCTTTTCCTTATTAGAAGTCACCACGAGTGGCTCCTCCACTAGGACCAGGCTCCTGGGACACAAGGGGCTGGGGGTGTGTTGCCCCATGGTCTGGCAGGCATGTGGGTAGGCCCCATAGCCCTGGGCTGAGTCTGGGCCCCCGCAGGTACCGCTGTCTAGTGGCCCTCAAGCACGACCTGCCAGCCAACGGGGACATGTGTGTGTCAGTGCTGAGTCGCCTGTGCACAGTCATGCCAAACATGTACCGCGTTGGGATCAGCAAGGTACGTCCAGCTCACACCCAGCCCTTGGGAACCCCAAGTTCAGGGACCCCAAAACTGCAGCCTATCAAACTGGAAGTGTCCAAGCGAAGGACTGTGGCCGCAGAAGTGAGATGAGCTTGCTTCTTGGAATGCCGGCCCACCTCCAGGCCTTGGCCAGTGGGTCCCACCACCTGATTCACCATCGCCCTTCCTAAGGCCTTCCAAACCCAAGCCCTCCTTCCAGCCCACTCCAGGAGGCTGCTCCGCCTGGTCTATCTCCCGGAATTTGAGAGGGCGGGCCCCGGTCCAGCGGCCCCGGTCCAGCCGGTGCGCCCCTGCTCAGCGCTGCCTCCTGCCCTCAGCTGTTCCTTAAGGAGCACCTGCACCAGCTGCTGGAGCGCATGCGCGAGCACGTGCTGAATGCAGCAGCCCTCACGCTACAGCGTTGCCTCCGGGGCTTCATCATCCAGAAGCGTTTCCGCTCTTTGCGCCGCAAGATCGTCCTGCTGCAGAGTCGGGCCCGAGGCTACCTCGCCAGGTGCGGCCCAGAGAGAGCAGGGCTCCCTGGGGCCTTGCAGTTAGGCTCCTGGAGGTCATGCCTGAGCCCAGACAGTGAGCGCCCTGTCTCTGCAGGCACAGATCCTGAGGGCGGGGCCTCTGCAGGATGTGCAGATTCACTGTATCCTGTGTTTGGATACCATGGGTGGGGATCCAGCTGAGAGGGCCCCACGCTGCCTCCCAGGGACCCCGAGACCCATTGGTAGGACATGGTCCAGGCCATTTTAAGCCAGGCCCTTCCATTTTATTTGCGGTGCGACCTTGGCCTCGTCGCTGCCCTCTTCTGAGCTCCACTTTCCCTTTGCATAGAAGGACCCCAGAGTGAAATGTGGGCACTAGCTCTCGGGCCAGGCTGACACCCCTCGGAGACCCTGTGTGTCACCCCATGGCACCGATCTCTGCCCCCACCCCTCTCCCCACTCCCACCAGGCAGCGCTATCAGCAGATGCGGAGGAGCCTGGTCAAGTTCCGGTCCCTGGTGCACACGTACCTGAGCCGCCGGCGCTACCTCAAGGTACAGGCCCTGCCCTTCCCGGACCAGGAGCAGCACGGAGCACTGTCCCGACAGCAGTGGCTCCAGGCCCCCCAGCCACCCTCAGCCTCCACCTCCCATCTACCCTGAGGGTTTACTGCGACGTCCCACGTGAAGGGCATGCCCAGGGCTCTTGGGTGATTTGGCAGATGGGAATTTGGCAACCTGAACTCACCGTCAGGTTTCGCTCTTGCCTGTGTGCCTGCCTCAGCCTGCCGTGTAAGCTAGTCCTGGAAAGACAGACAGAATTCCCAAAGCACTGGAGGACTGCCTACCTTTAATTTCCCTCATTTCTTCTTCCATGAGAGAGAGACAGGGGAGACAGGGAGACGGCCACCCCTGACGGGCTCGTCACACCGTGGCCCAGCTCCAGGCTCAGCCAGCCCCTGGATCACAGGCGTGCACACGTGGCGTGTGTAGAGGCCCTGGGACAGGAGCCCAGGACCTTCTCCTGTGGGTCCAGCAAGGCAGAGCACTGAGTCAGTGCCACACCGCCGCGTGCCTGTGTAGCTTTCTCTGAAGGTTCCCTGGCGTGACAGTGAGACCCTCCCGTCACAACCTGTACAGCCCCCTCCAGACTCTCCCTGCCCTGTCTCCACACTCGCCTTCCCTCGGCCTCTCTTTCTTGCCCTGTCTATCTCCCTCCTTCCTGTGCCTGTGACCGCACACCTGCCACCCCCTCCCCATTCACAAAGTGGGGCGGCAGCCTCCAGACCGCAGGCAAGCCGCCC